GAAGGGAACGAAGAGCTCATGCAATGTGGATACGTTTTTTCTTGTCCTGTTTCCCGCATTGATACATTGGAACAGTATCCTGTGTGCCCCAGAAAAGTTCCCATGTGAACCAGCATGCGTACGTGGTGCGACGCTGCCTTTCGCTCTTTTGACACGTTTCTCCTGAGATTCCAACCTAACTGCCCGAGGTTTACACGTTCAATAGAGCGAAAGGCAGCGAGATGACGTGGTATCTATGGGAATCTTGCTGGGGAACAAACGATACATGCCATGCCAACCAAAGATTTCCAAAGATAAAACGTTCTGCCATCATGTTCTTGCATGTTGCACATATTGTTGCACGTTGCCAACATGTTAGCCTACGTGCCGCGGGTCAAAGACGCAGACCAAAGGTAGCAGCAACTGTGGAGGAAATGATATCATAGAAATCAGCCGATGATATCAATAATGATATCATATTGCATTACTGATGTCATCGGCTCCCAGATTCGTGTGGAGGAGGGATGCGGACTATTCCTAAATATAAGGAGAGACTTGTAGAACCTGCACGTTGCAGCATTGTTTTTCGTACTCTCTCGTTGAGTTCATCCTTATATTCAAAAGAAGTCCGCAACCCGCCTCCATATAAATCAAGCCGATCATACGCATCTTGCGCGAATCAACCGCTTCTAAAACGACGCGCCATACTTGATCCGCTTAATCCGCTTCGTCGTTGGCCAGTTCATTAAACTGACCAAAGGCGAAGCGGTTATTCACTTGGTCCGCTTGGTCCACTTCATCCACTTCACTGTTGGTCGGTTGACTCGGTTGAATCAAATTGTATTTGTGTTCCTGGCAGACTTGGGGTACCATTCGATAGAGAGAAGCAAGTCTACAAAATCGCCACCAGAGAACTGTCTGAGTCGCAATCCAGGCAAAATTTGGATTTGAAAATCAAAATACTTCAACTACTCTGAAAATCGGATCTCCTTCCAGATTTCCTTCTTTATGCAGTAGACACATAGTAATCTTCTCGTTGGTTGCTTGAGCGTAGTCCAAGATTGGTACAGATTTATCGCACAGAACAGAATACAGACTAACGTTTCGGCGAACTCGCCTTCTTCAGAGTCTGAAAAGTCGAAGACACATAAGTAAACTATCCGATCAAACACCTCATCGACCACAGAAAAGAGACCAACCCCTAGGAAAAACAACAGCCTCAACCAAAACCAAGATTAAGCCAGTGCTCACCTTAGAAGATGATAATAATTAGGTGGGTGCAGACCACTTATGTCAAAAGCTGTACCGCTCAACTTTTATAGTTCACTGACCCGGTGCTGACCTGACCTCATTATTCAAAAGCCACAGAGGCTCTGATATGGTGACGGTTCGTTAGTAATGGCTAGGCACTCGTCCTTCCGGTTGATTTTTGGATTTTGGGCGGCTATCCAAAACGCTTCGAGTGTCTTGCGCGCTAGGATTTCGGGTTCACGGCCAGGATTCGAACCTGCACTCCCACCTCCGCGTCGTCATGGCTGAGCCTGCGATGCATGCCTAACGGAGTAGCTACTTTGCATTTGCTGAGACCATCTAAGTGTTCTGTGATGCGCGTACACAGGGGGCGCCCCGTCTCGCCAATATACGTGCCTCCACATGATGTACACGTGATAAGGTAGACAACACCTGATACCACACAGTCTCCTGCCTTTCCAAACGGACAAACTACACAACTAGGAGTTGTACAAAGACGATCATACTCGCGGTTTCGCACTAGTTGCTGTTTAAGGTTTGCGGGCGGAATGTCGACGATCCTCACCATATCGTTAAGGTCCGCTTGATGGAGTAATCTGCGAACAGCCCTACTAAATTCTTCCGAGATGTATGGTAGACAAAACGAAATCCGACCGTCAGCTTCTGATCTAGGCGACATACGGTGGACTCGGTATCTGTAGTGATGAGTTTCAATGCTGTATCCATTGGATTTTGCTACTGATCTTGCGAGCTCTAACGAGTGCATCTTCTCGTCTCTATCAGAAGAAACTCCCGTAGCCGTTCTAAACATGTTTCCTATGATGGACTTCTTTATTCGTGCAGGATGTGCTGAAGTTCGATGTACTAAGATGTTCTTGCTGCTCGGCTTTCGGTACCATCTGGTTTTGTAACGTCTGTCCGAAAGACATAACTGCACGTTGAGGAAAGACAGCCATCCATCTTTGGGTTTTTCCCTCGTCATCTTGATGTTCGTGTCCTGGGCATTCATGGTGTTGAAGCAAGCGTCAAGCTCGGCCTGGGTAGGGCACACGATAGAGCAGTAACGACAGTAGAGCAGAGGCTTGCTCGCCAGAACTGGGGCTTCCACCTTAGACATGAAAACTATCGCCAAGGTCGGCGCTAGCCTCTGTCCCATAGCCAATCCTCTAATTTGCCTATAATAGTTCCACACCAACGAAAGATGGAGCAGTTGAGACATTCTTTAACCAATGACAAGATGCCTCTGATGCTAAGACCATAGAGATTAAGTGAAGACTGGTGTTCCAGAAGAAGTTCGAAGGTCGCCTGCATCGCGGCGTCGACACATAGTAGTACCCAAAAATGTTTCTGGTTGATTTTTTTTCGGAGTTCAAAATTGAGAAAAAAGGATGGTCCCAAAATGCCAAAGTGCCACTTTTTACAGTTTTTCATGGAAAACTTGGTAATTCTCCATTATAAAAGGGCATACAGGAATAATCAAAGATTATACTTAGTAAGACTTCTAGTATACAACGACATATATGAGAGGGGCCGGGGCGGAGTTTGCCAATTTCAGACTATCCTTTTTTCTCACTTTCTAAGGCTCCCGCCAGAGTGCCGAAGCCATGCCAGCGCTACGCCAGCGCCGAGCCAGCGTTTCGATCGATACACGTGTATTTCGTTGGGGCGGGGCTATCTCAGCCAGGACCCCGCCCCTACGAAATACACGTGTATTGATGGAAACGCTAGCTCGGCGCTGGCGTAGTGCTGGCATGGCTTCGGCACTCTGGCGGGAGCCTAAGCTAGGAACAAATTCATCAAAGGCATATTTGAGTACTACTATGTGTCTTACTTATAATGACCAAGTTTGAGCTCCATACGATTATTCTTCGCAAAAATCCAATTTTCAGGTATCTAATAAATTTTTTTCGATTTTTGTTCCAGACTTAACCTGGATTACGACATAAGCGCATCTTTTGCGGTTATTTTGTAGAGCATGCTACGCTCTATCGAATAATACCCTAAGTCACTAGGAGAAGAAAAACATTTCGATTTATTTAGAAACACGGTTTACTTTTGGGACAACCTAATATCATCGATGAGCAAATTAAAATTGCTCAAAATAGAGAAATGCGCCAGGATTACGTCATTCAGAAGGCTAAATAAGCAGCAGCAAGGTACTTCAAGCTATTATTTATAGTCTTTTCTGGCTAAATTCGCATGTCGAAAAGGGTTTGAAGAAAACATTTTTGAACCACTGCTGAAGCAAGCGAGATGTTCTCAAATTAGTCCATGGTTGTTTTGCTCTTATGTAAAACAGTTAGGCCTTGGACAGAGTTTACGCGATTTGGTCTTCGCGAATCAATCGCTACAAGACAAGTGTTACGAGTTCATTGCATTCCGACCTTCGCATTTCGGTTGTGATAGCTAGTCACGATTATTTGTGTTGGAAAACTATCACAACCGAGATGCAAGAAGACTGGCATGCAATGAACTCGTAACTCTTGTCTATGGGGCCGGGCATACTTCACGCGATTTCAGTCGAGACGCGATTTGGCAATATTCCAACTGTCCGTAACTCATTGTAAGCACAATTTAAATGTACAGAAGATAGCGTATCAACCCACCGTTTTATCAACCCACTCAAGTCATACACACCATGCATGTGCAGTTTGCTAATGTTACATCTGAAGAGTTCTGGCGAATTGCCAAATCGCGTCGCGACTGAAATCGCGTGAAGTATGCCCGACCCTTATAGCGATTGAATCGCGACGATCAAATCGCGTGAACTCCGCCCGAAGCCTGAAAAGCCCTGAGGTGACTACGAATTCTTTTTACCTAACCGGAAATGATTTCTACAAAAAACCTGTCAAAATGGATCAAAACGTGTCAATTTTTTGCACACGTGGCGAGGAGGCAGTCCTCGAAGAATCTATGAAAGTTTATTTCTAGACTAAAGAACATATGTGAGAGCTGAAAAAATGGGTCCGTATAACGGAAAAGCATCCTTTCTTGTTATTTTAGATACTTCGAAATGCGCTCTTTGCGCTCTTTTATGGTCATGTTGGTCGCATAAGGGTTTTCCTGCTGCATTTACGTCAAAAGGGACTTCACAAGTTGTCGCGAAGTCACTTTGGGACTTCGTTCCCAAAGATGTTCCAAAATAACGCGTGCTGGCCCTGAACCCTCCCCCCCCCCTAGACTAGACAAAGTTTGGGGCAAACCTGTGATTTGGATCTCTACTGTAACCTACCGCCACTCCACCAGAGGCGCTACCGTACGAGTAAGTATGATATTCGTAATCAGCATGCAAAATAACCTCTTTAGACAAAGTTTCAGCGAAATTCGCGATTCATTTCTTGGGTCAATTCATGTGGAATAGCGCCGAAACAGCTGCACCTCCACCGCGGCGTCGCACGCGACTTGTTTTCGCGCGCAATCCCCGTGTGGCGGAGCGTTGTCAGCGCTAATGCTTGTTTCAAATCATACCTTGTTAGCGTGTTTAGCAAATATGCTATTATTATTTCACGTTATATCCGCCAGAGTGTCTCAATAGAAGTGGAAAGTCAAGCAACGTTTCTGAGCATCAGTTCTGCTTGCAAACTTTCGTTACCACCTATTGATTGCAACATTTGTGTTTTCGAAATAGAGAAATCGCGATGGTTTGCCCATTTCAACTACTGCATCCCCTTGGGGAACTGCGGGCAGATGCGGAAATTGATTGACCAGTCGTAATTGCATGAGAGATTTTGATTTGCAGTCGTAATTGCACGAAAGATTTCACTTTGTACGAGTTCGATCGATAGGAGCTCACATCAGGGTATTAGAAACGGAAAAGCTTGATTCATTACTGGAAATGCCTCCTTGGAGTTCATCAGGATAATGGACAATAGATTCATATTGATCCAAGCTTCTTAGGCGCTTGCTGGGTTTCCTCACAAATAACTCACTAGAGCAACTGATTTTCATTACTTTTGATTATGCAGAATCACTTGCTCACTCTGATTGTAAACCAAAACAATATCACCTTCGTATTTACAAAGCTCGCATTGTCCGGCCATTTTCGGATGTTTACTTCAAATGCACTCTAATCAATACCCATTTGCTATTCTTGTGCACTGTCCTACATGTTTTGAAATTTTGTCTCTATATTGTATTTCAGGAGATTACCTCATGACATAAGACACGAAATGGAGACGAGTACTAACGTTGCTAAGTGAGTTTGAGCTTTGAGGTTTTTTGAGAACATCCTCAGAAATCTTTTTCGTCTTCTAAATCGTGTTGGATGGAAATATTACGAAATATTACCATTGCTTGGCTGTCCTTTTGACTCCATACGACTGAACTTGAGGGTTCTAGTTTATCAACGCTATTTGTGACCTGATAGCCTTGTTTTTTGTGTTTCAACTTCAAATACTAAGCCGTGTATCCGAGAGCCTCTCATGACGTATCCTAATTGTTTCTGTTCCTTTTTTTCCATATATCGAACATTTAGACATCTTTCTAGCAGCTGGTCTCTCTGGACTAGAGCTTCGTTGGTGAAGTTGGCCGAAGCAGAGAAACGATTATTTGCAACATTTGGTGCACAAATCATCTCACGATTTATTCCGGTAGCGAAGCTTTTGACAGTGGTCCAAGCAAATCAATTCAAATGATTTTTCTAGGTTCGCTTCAAAGGAAGTGAAATATATACCGTCACCACAGAGCCAACAGATGAAAAGAAATCGGACGACCCAATCGTCCTGGTGCACGGATTCGGCGCTGGTGTTGCCGTTTGGTCTGCGAACATCGCTGCTCTTGCAAAACATCACGTCGTACATGCTTTCGATCTCCTAGGTTAGCGGGTTTCAACCTTTTAAAGCGCGTGTGCTTCGCAAAGTCTGCTTTTGGGAAGTACTTCAAAATCATAACTGATTCTAAGGTTTTGGTCGTTCATCACGACCTCGATTCAGTGACGATCCCACTTTGGCTGAATTAGAGATGGTTGAGTCTATAGAGGACTGGAGAAAATCGATGGGCATCGAAAAGATGTACCTGGTTGCGCATTCTTTTGGTTAGTCAACTGCTAGACCCGCTAGTTAGTTTCGAAAAAAAAAATTTAGGGGCCTATTTGGCTTCTTCTTATGCTTTGGAACATCCACACCGCGTCAAGCATCTTGTCCTCGTCGATCCATGGGGTTTTCCAGAGAGAATAGCACCTACTGAAAAGCAGGTGTGTTTGCGTTGTTGTTTTCGGGCCTGTTGTGTACACATTCCGTACTTAGATTAAACCATATCCTTGGATGACGTTCATTGGTGGAGTTCTTTCACAGTTCAATCCACTCGCCACTATGCGTGCTGCTGGACCATATGGTATGTGTTTTGCCCTATCAATCTGCCTTTTGAACGGAAACATTTCAGGACCGTCCATTGTGAAGAAATTCCGTCCAGATTTGAGTCTTCGATATAAGAGCGAAAACCCAGACGACATCTACGACTACCTATATCACTGCAACGCACAGCGACCTACTGGAGAAACCGCCTTCAAGGGAATGACTATACCATTTGGTTGGGCTAAACGTCCAATGATTAAAAGGTGAGACAAATGATGCTGCAAAATAATGTTCACCATTGTTCGGGTTCATTAGCGTTACGAACAAACGCACAAGTCCATTGTTGTATTATCAATTCATTTACTGCAGTTTGCCCACCGACCTCATTAATCCTATCCGCTGCGAATCTTAAAAAACTCTACTTCAGCAACTTTTTCAGGTTCAATGGAATAGATGCATCTGTGCCTGTTACTTTCATATACGGAAGCAAAAGCTGGATTGATCCTGGACCAGCATTTGATATACAAGCTCAAAGAAACGGATATGTAGACGTACAGGTAGGTTTAGGCGTCATACTACCTGCATGTCATCCTTGGTTTTAGATTATTCGCGGTGCAGGACATCACGTCTATGCTGATTCTCCAACTTCTTTCAATGAAGTTGTCCAGACTATCGTTAATGAACAGGAAAAACTCAGTCAGAGTGAGCACTCCGAAGCGCAATCTGCAGAAGAGGCAGCATCTTAATTGTGCATTTCATTCCTATTAGAAAGTTCCTATTATTTTCGAACTCTAAAATTTTTGTCATCGTCTCAGGGTAGCAATTCTGTCATGTCTTAACCATGTCTTAATCTTAAATCAATCATGGCTCGTACCTCGATTGTGTCTAAGTTGATATATGGTCTAGTCTCTCCCGTAATTATTGTATAGATGGGCTTTACGTCTTTATGATGCTGGAGCGGTGGTGTTCTGTTGCTTTGCATAAAGAATTTTTCCCAAGCAGTTCAAAGCATACAGGGTTTATCCTACGCTATATCTAGCTTGTTCAATGTTTACAGCTTGTATTCAAGATCCGATTTTTGCCTAGGTATGCCTGAAAAGAAGATCCTAACAGCAGATAAGGACCTTTTTCTTCGTCATGCTACTGCACTGTATGAATGCTGGGTTGGTTTTCTCATCAGAATGGTTGTCAGCGCGATCATAGATATAGGTCATCATTTCAGAATGCAGGTTCGTATGGTCTCGGTGATGTTGAGGGGCTCATGGTCATGGTAGGCCAGGATGAAGGAGCGGTGCAATACTCAAAATCGAAAGCTTTTCAAGTGAGTTCGTAAAAGTAACCGCAAAGAATACTACGAGGATGCAATTTAGATATGGTTGTTGAATACAGAACTGCTGGATACGCTCATGATTTTCACTAAAAAAGGTAACTTCATGAACCACGTATAGTTTTATCCATGCTTCGGGAGTTTCTACGTCAATTTTTTCGAGGTATTTATGTCTTGGCCAGCAACAGGAAGGCTGACTATTTCAACAGCGTCAAATCAGATGAATTTGTCGGAGTTGTACCTCCTGTAACCCCGATCCACAGAGACAAAGTGAGTTCTCACTTTTGCTTTCAACCAACCGCAGCATCTCTCTTTCTTATTACAGTCGGATAAAGATGCTGCTAACTTCGCAAAGCTGTTGAAATTTATCAAAGACGATGCCAACAACAAAGTCGGTTACTTTGCGAAAGACGTCTTTGACTCAGACTTTTGCAACGATTGGCAGAAGGCTTCCGCTGACGTCGAAAAGGTAAGAGAATAATTGCCAGCTGAATACTTTATTTTCATTGTTGCCTAATAATGCGCTTCTCATACAAATTCAGTAATCGTGATCAAAAAGCTTCAGCAAAAATTGAAATTAGGATCCATAGTGTGGTACAGACCTTGTTATCTATCTCTGTTTCAGGTCGACCTATCCGCTGCGTTTGTCCACGTATTCGCTGTAAAAGATGAACCTGAGATAGAGATGTGCCGAAACTCGGCTGCAGCAACAGTAAATGCATGGAGTTACGCTCGAAAGAAATTTATAGAGGCTATTGACCAGGAGAAGGTTTAATTTTAGCTCTGTTTTTCTTTGATTATTTGCAGTACTTTAAGTGTTCAGAAAGTGAAACACTCCCGTCTCGCCAACGAAATTGATTCGGAAATTGGCTCGTTGAAAGTGCAGGGGCCACTAGCTAAGAACAAAACGATTGAAACTTGTTATAATCCTATAATTATGAGCGGAGGCAACTATTCTCTCAAATGGAGCACTGAAAGGTGTGTAGAGTATCTCTGTTTAGATTATGAATATAAACGCTCCTTTTAGCTCGGACAAGCTTCTCCATTTTGGCGTTATCGTTACGTCGCTTGGAGCAAGACTGGAGGTTTGGCAAACACTTTGCTCTTGTTTAAACTGTACGATATCGTTCTTTCCAGAATTACTGCACCAACCTAACCCGAACATTGATGGTGGAACCATCAAAAAATCTCGAGGAAGCTTACGAAGGTCTTCTTGCTACCCAAGTTGCTATAATAGAAGCACTGAAGCCTGGAGCAAAGTTACGAGATGTTTACGATCTCGGAGTTAAGACTTTTCGCGAGAAGTGCCCTGACATCGCTGACAAGTTGCACAAAAAGGATTTTGGGTAAGTGAATGGGCTCGTCTTTTCGTGATATGTAAATGAAATGTGTCGAGTTTAGATTTGTCACGGGCATTGAATTCCGGGAAGGTGGTCTTACGATAAGTCCCAAGTGTGAAGAAAAGGTCCAAAAATTCGATATCCTGTTTGACAAACTTTATTTTGTCATCTTTAGGTGAAAGCTGGGATGATTTTCATTGTTTCTGTGGGAGCAGAAGGACTAACCAACACTAAAGCTAAAGATGATGCTGGGAGGAATGTTACCATTGCCCTCTCTGATACTGTGAGATTTTGATCATCACGATATCTGTGAGGTAAAATTATAGTCAAGTTATCTATCTGTGTTGTTGCAGATACTAGTAAAAAGCGAAGGTTCGAATGAAATTCTAACAGAGAGAGCCAAAAGCAGATTAAAAAACAGTGTCATAAGGTTCAAAGAAGAAGAAGAAGATGGTATGCAAAGCAACTGCTTGTTTTTCATGACCTCAAAGTATTTGTTTTAGCCAAAGACTCGAACAAGGAGAATACAGAGGAAATGGGACGTGGGAAGCGTAGTGTCGTTCTAACAGATCAAACGAGAAATAAGGCCACTAATGAAGACAAGAGGAAAGAACACCAGAAGCTTTTGGCTCAGCAATTGAACAACGCTGCTCGTCAACGTCTTGCACAGGCTAGTGGTGCTAGCGAGGCAAAAAAGTGAGATTTGAACATTTAATTGTGATCTAGTTAGCTTTGTATGTGTGTATTATCGTTGAAGATATTTTTAGGATCAAGAAATCAAATGTTTCGTACAAAACATACGACAAGTTTCCTGTTGACACCGAAATAAACAAACTGAATATTTTTGTAGGTCGGTAATTGTCTGTTGTTCTTTTTTCCTTGCTGAAATATGTGTGTTTCAGATAAGCGGCATGACACTATCATTCTGCCAATTTTTGGTGTTCCTGTACCATTTCACATTTCTATGATCAAGGTACGCTTCTTATTTGCTACTTTTCCAATGTATTCTACATTTTAAGAATTGCTCACAATCTGTGGAAGGCGATTTTACCTACCTTCGTATAAACTTTGCCCATCCCGGCTCTCAGATTGGAAAAGAAACTGCACAATTCCCAAATCCATTGGCTACTTACCTCAAAGAACTCACATACAGGTTTGGTGTTGATTTTTGTCTCTTCCGCTTTCATCCTGTTGAACTAAAAATTTTTGTCAGGGCAAGTAATGTCAAGGAGCACGGAGAATCTATTGCTCCAAGCAATAATTTGACAACCGCATTTCGCCTCATAAAAGAGATCCAGAAACGCTTTAGGTGCGTATAAAGAATTCATATAGTTGGGGCTTTGATAACTATATTTTGTTTTCAGAACAGAAGAAGCGGAGGAGCGCGAAAAAGAGGGCGCTGTCAAGCAAGACAAGTTGATACTTAGCCAGGCAAAAGCAAACCCCAAACTGAAAGATCTGTATGTTTCTTCTTGATCGTAATATCTTATTTTCTGATTTTTGAATATTAATGTCATGTATTCGAGCTGTTTCATTACACTCTAATCTCAGCTTCACCTCATGATGCTGAGCTTCCTACAAACTTGTTTTCCAGATTTGTGCGGCCTAACATCATTGCGAAACGCATATCAGGTTCTTTGGAAGCTCATATCAATGGATTCCGGTATGCGAGGGACTATGCGTGCTCTCATTAATGCTAAAAAAAAACTTCGCTGTTCCAGATACACTTCTTTGCGTGGCGACAGAATCGATGTCCTATACAATAACATCAAACATGCGTTCTTCCAACCATGTGATAACGAAATGATCATTTTGTTGCACTTCCATTTGAAGCACCCGGTGCTTTGGGGTAAAAAGAAATACAAGTGAGTTTTGCTCTTTCTTGGCTGGTTTCTATTGAAAGATGTGCGTTCTACACATGTAATGAAGAACGAACTACTTATTCTTTTTAGGGATATCCAGTTCTATACCGAAGTCGGAGAGATCACAACAGATCTTGGGAAATATCATCACATGCAAGATCGAGATGATGTGCAGAGCGAGCAGGTAAGAAGTGGCTGTCGAACCTTGGATGGGTAATATCATCTATGATCTTTAGATGGAGCGAGAAATGCGGCGGAAATTGAACCAGACCTTCCAAAATTTCTGTGACAAGGCAAGCCTTATTTCGTATAAAACTTCCTTTTAGCATTCTGATTGAGTCCATCTGCAGGTCGTCAAGCAAACGAACGACCAGTTCGACTTTGACGCCCCCTTCAGCGAACTAGGTTTCCTCGGTGTTCCTCATCGTTCTAGTTGCATGCTGAAGCCGACCTCATCTTGCCTCGTGAATCTGACTGAATGGGTTAGTTTTACGGATTTCTTTCGTCGTTTTACTTTCCTTAATTAATTGAAATCATTCTAGCCTCCATTCATCGTGACATTGGATGAAGTTGAATTGGTGCACTTCGAGCGAGTTTCATTCCAACTGAAGAACTTTGATATGGTTTTCATATTCAAAGACTATAATCGAAAGACACAGATGGTGCAGCAAATTCCAATGAGCAGCTTAGATGGAGTGAAGGTAAGAGAAATTTAGTTCAGCTAAATGTCTTAATTCATACGCTTGAATCTTCTTGTTAAGGAATGGTTGAATACTAGCGACCTTCGTTACACTGAGGGTATACAGTCCCTAAATTGGCCGAAGATCATGAAGGTATACCGAATATTTTGCATCTCTAGAGTCACCTTGTATTTAAAAGTGATTTTAGACGATCACAGACGACCCGGAAGAATTTTTTGAAACCGGAGGTTGGAATTTCCTAGCCGCCGATTCTGATCAAGAGGATGAGCCAGAGGTACTCTATCAGGAAAATGAATTGAGGAGGCCACAACATTATAGTGCAAAATTCTTTTTTGAATTATGAAGTGACAAGCAGTGACAAGCACTTTTTCGAAAGAAAAAAACATTGGTGGCATAACTTCATTAGGAAAAAAATATAGATAACGGTCACTTAGCGAATATTCTGTATGCCATAGTTGTGGTACAAGCTTCTGAGCCCTAGACGCGCAATCCACAGACTATATATAGGCCATTCTTTCTAATCTTACCTAGTCGTCTGTGTGATATAGTCAGAGGAATTCTGTGTAGCTGCCTCCGCTAGCCCACTACCTTCGTTTCAAAACGCCCCTACAGCAGCACTTCTGTTCCGTCTCACAATTTTCGTCTAGTCTTCTCGGTTCAAACATTTTGGCCTTCGCTATTATGTGTTTGGGGCCATGTTGTGATGTTCCTGCCACTTTCCTTCAAAAATCTTTCTTTCCGTAATTACTGAATTGATTTCACCTCGCTGTCATAGAGTCGCTAAATGTTCACTTTGGCTCCATATGTGCATCGTCCATCGAAACATTTGAACTCTTCCACTAATGTCAGGACTATTTCGATGTCCTTTGATCATCGAGTGCTGCTTTCTTTCTAAAAAGCATTGTTTTTTGAAAACTGCTTCACCATCTTCATGGCTGCCTCTCAGCGAACTTCTCTTTCATATCCTGACCAGAGATTTGCAACGCTTTGTCCGGTTCATCGAATGTTATTTTGATTGAAAATGCTTGACTGTGACTGTCACAAAAGAGCTCTGCTCAGTTTGGACAAATAGCACCTTTTTGAGCTTTCGCGTTAGTGCGAAGTCCTTTTCTGTTCAATTTTGTTTTCGTGTTGGAGTCAGTGGCCGTGTGAATAGACAATAGACCACAAAGAAGCTCAGCTGATCGTTATTCATGTGCAACTGCTTTGCCCTAGGGAATGTAAATTTCACAGCGCGGTGGCTACAATCAGTTTCATAGGCACAACATTTATTGCGAAAATGGACGCATTCTGTGCCTTTTGGATGTTAGCGCTTTTTCATCATTGCTCAAACTACGCTTTGCTTCTGTGTATAAGCTAGTTTTTCTCTATACGTATTATCTGTAGGATGAAAGTGAATCGGAAGATGCATACACGCCCAGCGAGTCCGAATCGGGAGAAGATGAAAGCGACGAAGATGAAAGTGAAGGTAAATATCGAATTTTGTGGTTCAAATCGATTATAGAGATAGACATAGCAGTGTCACATCATTTATTTCCATTTTCATCTTTTCAACTTTCAGGAGAAGCCACATCAGAAGATAGTGATGAAGAAGGCTCTCTAGAATCGGACGAGTCGGAAGGTAAAGATTGGTCTGATTTGGAGGAGGAAGCGGCTCGAGCCGACAAGAAGAGAGACCAAGAAGAAATTGGCGGTGGTGACCGCAAAAGACAGCATGAACGAGAAAGAGAAAGAGACCGCAAAAGACACCATAGCAGCAAGGGTGGACCTCCATCGAAGCGACACAAGTAATTTTCTGGAGATTTTACTGATTTCACAAAGTATTCGATGAACTCAAGCTGTGGTTGGCATGTGACTTATACGGTTGTTTGGAGCTCCTCCATTGTTGTTGAAACTTTTGCCTGAAGTGGATCAGATCTGACCTTGGTAGTAGAAGAGAACTTTGAAAACAAATGTTATATATAGCCCGATTTTTTGTTTGTTATTCCTGAGAAAGTAGCGGGCGATTAACGCAGAAAAGAAAAGTGATGTCCGGACAATATTTGAATAATTTTGTGCAGACTTTTTTATGTTTGCACCAGTGAATAAATCTGTATACTGTGATGAAGCCGCGCAGAACTTTTTTGCCCATCTGTTCAGAGTGAGGTTCAGCAGCAAAATTGCACGGTTTTGTCAGGTTACAGATAATATCACTAAACATCTCATCGCAAACACACTGATTTCGCTCGTTGTTCATGCCTCACATATTGTTTGTACTCTGATGCTATACATATTTCTTGCACTTTAAACTATTTGCAAAAAACGATCTTCATCCTCACACTGAGGTCACCACTGTTCCTGGTTCTTGTTTCGGTTCGTGTGTTGTTACTTTCGACATTGTTATCAAGCGGCACTCGGTTTTTACAATCTTTTGATTGTTTTTCGGTCTGTACAGGAAGTGAATGTTGTATGATAAGATGTATCAACAATTTTTTGTCAGCATAGCACCATTTGAGTCAGCGCAAAGGGAGGGTTACAGATTTTTTGTATACAAAAATCTTGGGAATACATAAAACCAGAAAGCGTTAGCGGAATAAAATTGGCGAGAAGTTTGAGTCATCAAAGAGAGGAAGAACAAATCACTTCTGCTGTACGTTTTTTCGACCAAAGCTCAAATGGGTTGCTTAAGAGTGAGTTTTTGAAAAGAAATGGATATGGGGTATACACGTATACACTACGGCATTCTCATTTCTTCTAGCAGACATAGCTCGTAAAAAATATGAGAAAATATGAACGTTTGGGACTCGGTGTCAGCAGGATGGGATCTACGCACAGTTCGTGTGCATCAAAAGCACACTTAGCACATCAATGTAGGTCATACTTACTGTTCCAGTAAAAGGCCAGCATCATTCTAAACGCGGGAAACCTAGCCAAGATGCTGAAAACCTCACCACGTCCTAGGTTCTAGACATGCGAGTTTTATGGCAGAGATGACCGTGCCGAGTTGAATTAAACTATTAGAACCGCCGTCATAATTAATTACACAATGAGGAGGAACCGCGATCGCCATCAGGAGTTGTTTGTCTTTCTATCATGCTCCCACGGTAAGCACTGCACCTGTTTGTGTTCTAGTTCATCCAAATGACCGGCGACATGAAGTGTAGGACTTTTAGAGTGCAGTAGCCAGGAGACACGAAGTTGTAAATACCTAGCACAACCGTCAACACTTGTAAGATTTGCAGTCGGCACAACCAAATTTCAGAAATTGGCAAGAATGGGGTTCATCATAATTTGCAGCACCTTGTTCAGCTCTTTTGTGATCACTCTAAATTATCACTATTTGTGCAATAGATGCATCCATAAGAGCTGGATAGTATCCGACGGTCAGCCCCTTTCACACTCCAAAAAGGAGACTCTGAGCAGCAAATTATATAGTCTGGTCGCAAACCGACTGCGATTGAAAAATCGCGTTGCTGACAAGTATTGGCTAGGGCTCGGCACAGATCGTCTGGAAACAGGCTGGACTTCGTTTTTGAAGCAAAAAGCAAAGGAGATATCGTTTTTGACGATTCGAGGCCAAGCACCAAGATTAAGCGCCATTTAGTCGAGCGGAAGTTTCGGACAGGTTATCACACGATTGACATGCTCTATCGTGTATGGCGAAAAGTGCGCGCGATTTGAAAGCAAGGCTTAAATAAACGAATTGCTTGTTTACAACGCACACAGAATCATATGACACCAAAACTGAACTGTATGCATAGAAAATTATTTGCAAAAGAACTGTGCAAAAAGATTTGAAAACTTATGTATCACCTTTTCCAAAATTAGTCCGTCTTCAGACGGCTACCAGACGATCTGAGATCGTTGAAGCAGTATTTCTGTCACTTCACACAAGTTGGATTTTTCTACCATGGACGGATTTCTCGGTCAAAAATCTATCCCTGAGCACGAAGACATTTTCATATCATCGCCTTTTTTGTTTTTTGCCTTCGTTTCGTCTCTCTTTGTCAAATATCGCGCTCTAATGCCAAAGTCTTGTGCATGCGTAGTTTTTCAGCTCCAATTTGGATTTTCACTCTTACTTCACTTTTTTTTCTTTCAGACTAGTAAATCTTTCTTGTTTTCATCTTCTCCTAAGTAGGTAGGTTAAAGGGGACTTCGTATAACTTCCGGAAGTCAGGGGAGATGTAGGAAAAGCGCAAATTACCACCACTGCGCTATTGGTTGCGCCCGCACAGCCCGCCGTTAATGCGAGTATAAAAGGAGAGTAACCCCGCCTCCAGGGGTTCTCATGCACTTCCGCCGCCAGCTTCGGCTGGCACCCCCGCACCTCATTTAATCGCCCTTTCCTCATTTTCCTTTACCACTGTTTTGTATTCTTTATCTGTTCCTCATATCCATGTAACCTTTATATTAACCTCAATATTATTTACCTCCTATTTAATCTTCTTATGTGTTCCTCTCATATTACGCCGTATATAGTCGTCCTCCCCCCACTAGACACTTAGTGGACTAATTCGAATTTGAACTAGAGCACGACGGTTGCGGCAGAGCGCGGCACCGTCAAATGCATTTCAAGCTAATGCAGTTTTCTTTTGTGTTTTTTGGCGTTGCATCGTGATTTTCCTTGTTTTAATATGACTGTAGTCAAAATTGAAGAGTTTTTTGTTGCTTAGCGATGTTTCGTACTACTAAGCTCGTTGCTTTACTCTTTTTCAGGAAAGGTTGGAAAAACGATGCACATGGAGAATTCCTGACATGAAGTGTTCAATGAAGCAACATTTCAAAACTTACCGAGAGAACCACGGATCTCCCTCACAGAGGGATCACAGCCGGTTAGTCGCGAGGCTACGTGGGGCGTCCCCAGGTGGCGGATAGGGGGATAATCGCCGACCAAAAGCGACCCCGCGCCTGCTCTGATAAGCAAGCGGAGCCGGGGGACGGACTCCCTGCCTCCACTAAAAGCTTGCGCCTTAATTTCCCGGGTAGGTGTGTGGGGAGGCGAGTTCGGAGTCGCCTCCAACAAATAAGCTCCGATCGTCCCTCGCGGGGGTTTTGAGCCCAACAAGCTATCCCTGCGAGTAAATTCTTGTTCGACACAGTGATAATATGGAAAGCTCCTTTGATCTTGGAAGAGCCACTGGTAAGGCAGCGCCAGTGGGGACAAGGTTTGAAAGGCGATCTAGGCTGCCGAAAACGAGACGGACTATGATGACGATCTGTACTTACAACGCGAGGACGCTGGCATCGGACGCATCTATCGAAGATCTCATGATGCAAGCAAGGAAGATTAAGTACGACGTCATCGGACTGACCGAGACAAGGAGGCACCACCCGCTGAACGCCACATTTGAGACTGGAGAAGAACTGTTTTTAGGAACATGCGACAGTCGAGGAGTAGGTGGAGTGGGAGTCCTTGTCAACACGAGTTTGGCCATGAACATCGATTCGTTCGAACAACTTACAACTCGAATCGGGCGTTTGCGAATATCAAGATGTGGATCAATCCCTGCCTTGACCGTCTTCATTGCGTACGCCCCAACATCCAGCTACGACGAGGACGAACTCGAGGAATTTTATATGGACTTGGAGAAGTTCTATAGAGAAGATCATACCTTCTACAAGATCATCGTCGGTGATTTCAACGCGAAGATCGGAACTAGAAGGTCGACTGAGGAATTTCACATCGGAACCCATGGTTTGCAGTGGAACGAACAAGGGGAGAGACTGTCCGAGTTTATCATGACGACGAGGACTATCCATGGAAACTTACAGTTCCAAAAGCCCTCTTCCCTACGCTGGACCTGGGAATCGCCCGGTGGAGAGTACCATAACGAGATTGACCACATCATCGTCAACAGAAGGTACTGCCTGACGGACGTCGCTGTTGTTCCGAAGTTCTACACGGGATCAGACCATCGTCTCCTGCGCGCCAAATTCTACTTTCCGCGGAATGGAGAGAGAGCCGTCAAGTTCAGGAAACATCGTCCCATGAATACCACCAACTGGGATCTGTTTTCTTCGATATCCGGCTCATGGCGAGATACCATGATGGACAACATCGACGAAGAATACGAACGGTTCGTACAACATCTCCACGGTTGTGCCAAGGAAGCTCAGAGTCTAAGAAGTACGAGAAGGCGTCTCACCACGGGGACTTTGGAGCTGATACGCCAACGTGGACGCGCACGAGCCACAGGCAACTACCGACTGACGTCCGAGCTTGCGAAGCGATGCAGAGAAGCGATAAAAGAAGACCTTAAGGAGAGAAGAGTAGCAGTGATGGTTGGCGCCGCGGAGGCTGGAAGAAGTATACGCAACGCCCGCCGAAGCTTCGTCAACTTCAAGACAAAGATGACCGCACTTCGTCGTCCTGACGGAACCATAACTGCTTCCCGAAGATCAATGGAGAGGTCATCCACGACTTCTACTCGGATCTTTTTGCGAGCCACGCCCACCTTCCACCATGCCATCTCGAGGAGAACGAGTATGTCGCACCGTCTGTTCTTCCTTCCGAGATTCGTCATGCTATCATGTCGATGAAAAACCGTACAGCACCCGGTCCCGACAGGATTAAGCCAGAACATCTGAAGAATCTTTCGCCAGTTCTCATCAAGACTTTGGCAAGGCTCTTCACGCGGTACCTGACGGAAGGCAGGTTCCAAGGCAATGGAAGACGAGCAAAACCGTGTTGCTGTACAAGAAGGGAGATCCCTGCGACATCGGCAATTATCGCCCTATCTGCTTGTTGTCTGTAGTCTACAAACTCTTTACGCGAGTCATTCTCAACAGGATTGGAAGAGAGTTGGACGAAGGACAACCATGCGAGCAAGCTGGGTTTCGAAGAGGATTCAGCACGATCGACCACATACACACGGTGTCAAGGCTCATTGAAGTGTCACGAGAGTATAAGATGCCGCTCTGTC